ATATATATACTGAATAAATATAATTTATTTTTCATCAATCAGTAAGCCTTTTCGTGTTTTCTATGAACTCTATACGCATTATAGGAATTCTTGCTATTCAATCCATTTGAAATTATCGATAGATGCAATCTGAGCGACTAAATAGAGAAAACACAATATTGTAAGCAGTTAATTCTTCAATACTTATTATGCGAGAACAGTAGATGTTACGCACTGAACTCGTATTCAGACCATTCGTATTTTTGCACCATAGAACGAGGCAGACAGATGCCCTCTTCTCTACTTTACTTAATAATTAATTTATGTATTCGTTATTAGTAAAAAACAATACATCTCGGAACACTTATTTCTTATAGAACAAGAAACATGATTCAAACATACGAAGCGATAACTTGTAACGTACTTTTTAGAATTTTAATATACTTCAATTCTTTTTTCAGTTGCAATAACAAAACTTTAATCTCTTACAGATTGCAAAGAATATATTACACAAAGAACTACAAAGGTGCTTTGAAGACAAAACGTTGTAGCGTTACGGCTTTTGTCCGTTAAACTTGACGTTAAAACAAAAAAGAGTACATGTTGTTGTTACGTTTTCCTTTAACTACTTAAATAGACAATACCGCTTGAGTATTCCGTAGATAAGTTTATCGAGCATAAAAATCATTTGAGACCATGTTTATATTTCAAACCGTATTGCATATATGTATGTCAGCTCTTTTATGTAAATTTACAAAAAGAATCAGAAGAAAAATATCTAGTTGTGTTTCATGCTTGGGTAATACAACTCTTATAAGCTTCCGTTGCGCTTCTACCGATGTATGTTTGCTAAACAGTGTTGCCACACTTCACAACGGTACGTGAATTCGGGATGGACTGAGTTTTTCTAAAATCTGTTATAATTTATAATAAAACAACAGGTTTGCGCGACTGAAAAGCTTCGGTCGCAGACTAGTTAAAACATTAATCCAGTAAGATCATGATTCATATAAGTTTGATGGAATAAGTCGATTTTTAAGAGCAAACATAGGGATCCTTCGAATACAATGTACAGAATTATTACACTGTTACGATTCGTTGCATTCTACATCTTTCTTCATTAAAGTAAAGTTAAACAATTCCTCATAATACTCCAGAGAAACTGGCGCAACACATATTAATTATAGCTTTTACCTATTTGTGCGTGGAAGGAACGTTCGTAATGGTCGCCACTAATTTAGCAAGTGGATATTAGGCTAACTTTTATGCCTCTCAGATTTTCTAAAATAAAGAATCAATACTAAGTAAAGAAGTTATAATCGAACATTTGGGGCTGTTCCCAGAGAGCTACGGTAAGGATAAGCGCAAGCCAAGAAGAGAGTTAGACCAAGAAGAGAATTAGAAAACGCAACCTTTAATGAGTCATTCTTGATTCCGGAATACTGATATATTGCGAGACAGGTCTCTTACATCAGTGTCGCCTTTATTGTAGAGTAAACACAATCATTAAACTCTCATAATCACTCATAATATTAATTTTACTTATCATCGCGATAACATAAATTAGCTCCATATTTGGATTTAGTCTCCAAATTCGGATCTGTCATTCTTGCAGACGGTTTTCAGTATTTCCAATTTTTCTATATTATTCGAGATTCTGTTGTGCAACCTCTATTAATCCAAAGCGCCGTTTCAATCAAAGTAGACTACAGCCAATAGGCAGCTGCTGTTCGTGTGACATTTTCTTCGTCGAGAACTGAAAGATCTCGTAATATTATGTCATGCACTCTCGCTTCTATTCCCTGCTGTTGTATGTCAAGCAGCATCGAAAGCTCTAGAAAAGGCAGCGATATATATATATACATGTATAGGGTTATAGCAGTAATAGACATTTCTGCCATCTGTACGGGTTATTACCATATAAATCTCAGTTGCTAGCAACGATAAGATTATAAATTAGGATTATCGAAACACTGCAAGTGCAGACTGATGAATTGTTGCAGTTACCACATGTAGGTGCGCTCCTAGAGTCATTTTTCTACAGTCGTTTGTATTTGAGATTTTGTAAATTCTCTTTTGTTATAATTATTTCCATTATTGATAAAGCTTCGGCGCGTTGTGTAAGAATACTTGCCATGATGATGGCGATACCCAGGATAGCACGAACTACTCTTATTTCATGCTCTTGCTTTTGGTTATAGAGAGCACCGGCATCGCGTCAGTAGTAATGACGGCTGTTGGCAGTTGTTATTGTGGTTCTCCGTAGCGCGAGTAGTTGGACTGAGTTGAACACGCACACAGGGAGGGCTGGGTGGCTGAAATGGCAGCGGCTATTGTGGCAGAAGCAACATCAGTAGTACTGCTTGTATGTTTGTCAGTCTCGACTGGGCAACCTAAATGGCTGGAAACAACAGCCATTGTAGCAGTAAAATGAAATGACGGCTACCGCTGATGGCTTCTCTCTCACCGTCAAGGCCACCCCCTCTTGGCCACGATCACGACAACATCTAAAGGTGCTAACTACTGCTAGTATCGCAAACACACCACTACTGCCGCCGGCGAAACAAACAGAGCCGAGCCGCTTTTCGAGGGCATCGTTACCACCGCTGTCATCATCACCAGCATCAGAATCATAACGATCGTCATATTCACATCTAAGGCAACTGGGCTGCGGCAGCAGTGATATTGCCCCCCGCACCAGGAGAACATCAAACACGTGAACAACAAGACTATACCAGCGTGAAGAATGTACAGCATAAGGAATAAAAGCGGCGCTTGTGGCGGCTACGATAGAAACTATCGAAGTCAAACTAAAGCACAAAAAAGGCAAAAGTAACATCAGTGCAGGTTCAGCACTCTATCAGGTGTGCCTCATATCTATATGACTCATGCGCAAATTATAAGTTTTCAGAATCAAACACTGCTCTGATTGTTAAATACATTATAGAAAAATAGATTCTAAAGCACGAAAAATAAAAAAACACGTAGTGGAAGACCTATGAATAGGAATTT